AATCAGAACTGGCTTTGACAAGCACTGTGGCATTTGGACAAGAACAAACTGGGAGGAGGGTAGAGAGAATAGTGCAACAATGAATGACTAGAAACCCAAAATCTCTGTAAAGTTTATGAAAATTAATAAAATATAATTATAGAAAAAAATAAAAGAACTCATAAAATATTATACAAAATGGGTGATCCTGGAGGCCATTATGCTGAGTGAAATATCTCAGTCACAAAAGGACAACAGGACCGACAGTGGGATTGAGGGAAGCCCAAGAAAGAGGTGATCAATAATTTACACTGGATTGAAACACATAAGGGAGAAAACCGTTTAAAAGGATATGTGATTGGGTATTATTGTCATGACAGGAGTCCAGAATGAAGGCTTCTCAGTGGAGTGGACTTGGGGGGAGGGATTGCATAACAATGAAAGAATTTTTCTTCTACTTTTCAATGAGAAGAACGAATTGAGGAAAGTGGATGGGCAGGGAGAAAAGTGCAACAATGAATGAATAGTAACCCTAAGTCTCTATAATCTTTCATTAAAATTAATTTTTTAAAAAGGGGGAGAATATGTGTGCCAGAATGTCTATGAACTTTTATGAACTTTGTATGTTAACCAGCATAAAATAAATTTTTTTAAAAAAATGTGTCCGACATACATTGTTATCTCGGGTGAAAAGAAAGGTGATGTACAATAAAGGGTTGATTAGATATTATAATTAATTATATTATTGTTTTATGTACCATCTAGTTGGACGACCAAGAGAGAGCTACGTTGGCCTAGTGGAAGGAAGCTGTGCTACCAAGCCGAAGGTGGGTGATTGTCATCTGTGGCCCTCGGCCAGGTTCAAATTGTCTTCCTGTCAAACATTCTTCTAGGTGGTATAGCACTGGTCTTTGTGTTGCTGTACAGAGGTAACTCGTGGTTGCTGTGACGCTGAACACTGTGACACTGATGTGCCAATTGTGGTAATGGGTACCCATGGTGGACAGTGTTGGCTGGAGCTTCCCGACTAAATCAAGCCTGGAAGCAGGAGCGGCATCTACTTCTGAAATGGCTTGCCTCTGGAAACTCTATGTACGAACAGTGCTCAGGCCGTTCATTAATAGGGTCGCTATGAGTCGTCTACAACTCGACGGCATTAAACAAGAAGTTGGAACTAACTCATAACTGACCCTCCAGTGGGTTTTCAGAGACTGTAAGTCACACAGGAAGGGACTGTCATCTTTCTCCTGTAAATCAGCTGGTTAACTTGAATCATGTGCCTTTGAGGTGGCAATGTGGCTCCTTACCACTTAGCCGCCAGAGCTCCCTATTAATTACATAAGCAGTGGCAATTAATGTTATAAAACACGATGCGTATGAACTGTTGTGTGAAAAACCAGTATGATTTGTAACCCTCTGCTCAAATAAATAAACATTTAAAACAACCAAAAGAATATATCCATTCTAAAATACTTTTTTTCCTATCAGTAAGCAAATTTTAATAGCATATAAATGTTACAAATTATAAATAAATGACAGGGTCAAAGTATTACACTTTTTAAAAACCGTGTCAGAGATGGTGAGGGTGCACAGAATAGGACAGAGTTCAGATCTCTTCTTCCTAGTGCCACTATAAGTCATACTTGACTAGGCAGCACTTAATAACAACTAAGAACAATTATATTGAAAGTGCTTGTCACATTAATAAAGCAAAAAAGAAAATTAAAATATATCTCAACTGGAAAGGGAAAAACAAAACTATTCACAGATTCAGCCTGTTCACAGATGATATAATTCCGTGCACAGATAATCTCAGAAGTTCTGCAAGAAATTTACTAGAACAAATTGAAGAACTCACCAAAGAGATCAGTGCACAAAAATCACTTAGGTTCTAATACTAAAAAGGATAACTCTGGAAACAAAATAAAGAAATCCATACCCTACATAATAGCCTCCCAAGAGATGAAAGTCCTAGGAATAAACACAATCAAACATAAAGGGGGGAGGAATCTTACAAAATACTGTGATAAACAAGAAGACTTGCATAAATGGAAAAATACATCATGCTTATAAACTAGAGGATGAAGCACTGTGAAAATGTAAAGACTACTTAAAGCAAGCTGCATTTTGCCTTCAATCCCAATACAAATTCTAGTATCATCCTTTAATACAAGAGTAATCTGCGCCCATGCGAAAAAAATGCCTCTGACAAACCCTAGAGTGTCAGGTAGGGGTCAGATCTGACTCAAAGGACCACGACAACCAACCACAGTCTCCAACTTGACTTGGAAAAGTATTGCTAAAGCAATATTAAAAAAAAATAGGTGATCTCTTGTTTCCTGGTTTGACTATATAGTCATAGTTTCAAAAGAGTGTAGTACTGGTTCAATGACAGATACATATATCAAAGGAATAAAATTGAGGACCCAGAAGTAGACCCATCCATTTATGGATATGTGATAATCAACATAGGGCCAAAAACTATTCAATAGGGAAGAAGCAAAGTCTTTGACAAATGATGCTGGCAAAATTGCATATCAATTTGCCTAAAAACCAAGATATATGCCACAAACCATAGACAAAAACTAACTCAAAATTCAACAAAGACTCAATTTTCAAAGCTAAATCTATACAGTTCTTGGAAATATTTTACTCTTTTAAATATTATGTATTTATTCCAGAAGAAATTCTATTATTATAGAATAGAAACTAAGGGACCAAATTTTTGAAGTGAATAATCTATCAAATACAAATGAAAATTCAGGGCACACAGACTGGACAGAAAAGAGCTAAAATGTTCCTTTTGTAAATAAGAAGAACAAGACAGAGATACCCATTGTAACAACTTTTATTCAACATTTTACTGGAAAGCCTAGGTAGAGTAAAAGGCAAGAAAGAGGTATTAAGGTTCCTTAAACTAGAAAAGAAGTTATTTTGCAGATGATATTATGCTGTACATGGAAGACCCTAAAATTTCCACATGAAAACTGTTGGAACCAAGAACTATTTAAGTAATGTTGCAGGTAGTATAATTAAAAGACAAAAATCAGCTTCCTCTACATGAAGAAGGACTACTCCAAAAAAGAAATCAAGAAAATAATACCATTTATAAGTAGAAATATTTTATTGATAAAATAAGAAAGAACTTAATAGGGATATAAAGACTTAATACAAAATGTAAAACACAACCATAAAAGACCTTTTTTTTTTTTACTTCCAGAGTGTATTAAATTGTTCTTTATCTTTTTTATTTAATAAAATGTTTTTATTTTATACTGGTTTACTTACAAAGTTCATATATGTTGTTGTTGGGGTTTTGGTTTTTATTTCACTATTTTTTTGTGTGTACCGTCAAATCAGATCTGACCGATACAGGAGAAGATTGTTCCTCCTTCTCCAGCAGAGCATCTGGTGGATTTGAACTGTGCACCTCTGAGCTTGCAGTTGCAGCTTCTTGCCACTAGGCCACCAGAGCTCGCCCCTATATGTTGTTTTAAACACTGGATCTTTGCAATCTGCATAACCCACCCCTCCCTCAGAGCACACAGGAGCAATATTCTGTAAATCACTACCTAACTTGAGAAGGACTGGAGAACATTTCAGTAATAAACAAAAAAACTTGTAATGAAGAGTAAAAAAAATGAAAAGTGTGTGTTCATATATTTTTTGTTGTTGTTGCTGTTGAGTACCACTGAATCCTAGGTGACTGACAGTTGACTCTCTGTGGGGTTTTAGAGGAAGTAAATCATACAGCAGGAGACTGTCAATCTTTCATGGAGCAGCCCTTAGAGTTGAACCCCACACTCCACACCTTTAAAATGGAAACTCAATTCCTTGCCACTGAGTCACTAGAGCTCCCTGTTCAAGGGTTAAAAGATTTAAAACAGTGAAACACCAATTCAGCCTAAAGTAACCTGCAGATACAATGAAATCTCAATACATTTTTAAAAAAAATCTCCACACCCATGTTTATTGCTGCTACATTCACAATAGCTAAAAGTTGGAAACAACCTAAGTGCCCATCAATAAACAAATGGATAGAGAAGTTGTGGTATATTCACATAATGGAATACTACACTGCATAGAAAAACAAGGAACTCATGCAATATTATTCAAAATGGGTGATCCTGGAAGATATTATGCTGAGTGAAATATCTCAGTCATAAAAGGACAAATACTGCATGGTGCCACTGTTGTAGAATGGGACAGACATCAGGGTTGGGGTGAGACTGAGAAAAACTGGATAAATCATGTATCCTGCATTGAAACAAATGAGGGAGAGAACAGTTAAAAAGCAATATATGATTGGGTATTATGGCTATGAAGAGTACAGAATGAAGGTGCCATAGTGGAGTGTACTCAGGACGGGGGGAGGATTGTATACCAATGAAGAGATTTTTCCTTTTCTTTTCAAAGAGAAGAGCAACCTTGGCGGGGGATGATTGGGCAGAGAGAAAAATGCAACAATGAATGGAAATCCAAAATCTCTGTAAATGTTCATTAAAATTAATTAAAAAAAAAACACCCCATACCAATTATTAAAAAAAATTCTCAACAATCTTTACTGAAATGGAAAAACTAATGACCAGCTTTACATGGAAAGGACAGAAAACATTAAAACTCAAAACAGTATTAAAGAAAATGAGCAAAGTAGGAGACCTTGCACTTTCTGATATCAGAGCATGCTATTATTGCTAAGAGTTGACTTGGTTCTGACTCAAAGCAATCCTATGACCAGTCCCGCACCATCCTCACAATCAATGCTATATTTGAGACCACTGTTGCAGACAAACGGGCACTGCAATCAAGACAACATGGTATTGACACATATCACCACTGGAATAATTGGTAACTCAAAATTAAACCCAGCCAACTACGAACAACTAATTTTCATTAAAGGGTCGAAGTCTATTTGGTGGATCAGAAATTGCTAACTTAATAAATGTTGTTTTTAGCTGCCATTGAGTCAGCTCTGACTCAGTTATACTCACTGTGTCAGTCCATTTCTATGAAGGTAAATGATAAGTTATGAGTCAGTATGGACTTAACAGCAACGGGTTTAAATTTTTTATTAATGTAAATATAACTTGATATAATCAATACATAGAACACCCCAGAAAACTTCTAAGCTGCTTTCCAGATGATACATCTGCTCATCATAGATTAGTTTCGTCTGTCCCAGATCTTCATATAAATGGAATAAAAGAGTTTAAATTTTGTGAGGTTTTTCCATCCACTATTCTAGTCATAGAATGAACATGTGGTTGTAACAATGGGCTCAAGTTTACCAGAGATGATGAAGATGGCACAGGAAAGGGCAGGATTCAGATCTGTAGTTCATAGGACTGCTAGGAGTTGTAGTTGACACCTGCATCATTGTTTTATTTATGCAATGTGGCTCATTGTTTAGCTATACCCTGCTTATTTGCTGATTGAAGGAAATGTGGGTTGTTTTCCAGAGGAGTTCCTTCCTAAGAATAAAATTACCATGAATTTTCATATACAAGCCTTTCAGAAGAAATATATTTTCAATTATTTTAGGTGAAAGCCTAGTAGTTATTTGCTAATAGGGACATCAATTAGTTTTTAGTGACTAATTGATCGATTATACTATACATTACTTACTTATTTGTTATAGCCTAACAAACTTATTATTTCTCAGATATTTCTTAAAAACAATGAAAATGAATTTATCCCTTCATCCCTTTTTTGTCAGTTTGTTGTACAGGAGAATGCATTCTTTTAATTAGTACAGCACTTGTCTGTCAGTTTGCTTTACTGAGGTAACTGTAGTTTGCTATGATGCTGAAAGCTATGCCACTGGTGTGTCAAATGACACAAGGGTCACCATAATTGGCAGGTTTTAGTTGAGTTCCCAGATTAAGAGAGGCTAGGAAGCATTATTGGCCATTCACTTCTTAAATAGCAGGCCTTTGAAAACTCTATGAACAGTAGAGGAATACAGATAGTGAGAGTATTAAAGGCAAAGCCCAGATTTTAATAAAAATGAAGAAAAATAGTGGCAAAGAAAGTGCAACCAGAGTGCTCCTTGGAGGCAAGGGTGATAAAGCCTCATCTTAGGAGAGGCTATTCCTTGGAGAGGGACATCATGCTTGGGAAGGTGGAGGGTTGGCAAAAGAGAGGAAGATCTTCAACAAGATGGACACAGTGATTGATGCAATGGGCTCTAATGTGTCAGAAACCACGAGGATGGCACAGGATAGAAGGGGCTCAGATCCGCTGTTCATGGGGTCTATGGGTTGTACTCAACTCGACAGCACCTAAGAACTACAACCACCCTTCTTTGTGATTATTATGTTTTAGCTCTACAATCAATTGAAACTCAGTACATGTCAATTGTTTTATCTAGTATGTATGTATGTACTATGTATGTATGTATGTATTCCATTTTTTCAAAATGTGTTCTAAATTCACTCACACATTCCGACATTTCCTTCCAGGATCATTTTGCTCTTACCTGCAGAGTTTTGTTTTCTTTTTAAAATAAAATTAAATAGCACTTTAATAACAAAAAGGAGAAAAGGCATGAGAAGATTCATACTTGGATGGGCATAGACCCATGAGGAAATGCTCAAAATAACTGGCAATCAAAGATACACAAATCAAAACAACAATGTGGTACCGTCTCATCCAAGTAGCAGTAGCAAAGTTTAATAGGACAGCAAGCAATATATGTTGGAGAGGATGCAGAAAGATTCAAACTCACATGAACTGCTGGTGGGACTGTAAACTGGTACAACCACTCTGAAGGCAATTTGCATTTCATCAAAAAGATGAACATAAAAATCCCATATGACTCAGCTATTGCACTACTAGGAATATACCCCAAGGAAATCAGAACTGAGAAATGAACAGATATGTATACCTGTGTTCACCGTAGCCTTATTCACAGAAGAATATGGAAACAGGCCAAATGCCCTTCCACAAATCAATAGATTGAGAACTTGTGGCACATTCACACAATGGAATACTATACTAAGTATTCCATTGTAAATATACTAAGGAACAACAATTTCATAAAATACTATATAACATGGGAGAGTCTAGAAAATATTTTACTGACTTTAATAACTTAGTTTTATAAGGACAAATACTGCATAAGACCATTATTGTGAAAACAGGATAGCTAAGTGAGCTGTGTATAAATGTTCAAAATGGGAAGGGGAAAGGCAGCAAAAAAAAGGGCAAAGGGGAAATCATTAGGATATTAGAAGTTAGTGCGTGGATGGAGGGGCTGAAGGAAGAGGAAAATCCACTGGAGAGTTGAAAAAAGGGGTGATATTAGGCATAGATCAAGAGTAATTAATTTAAATACAATGCATATGAGTGATTGCATGCAAACCAGTAAAATTATTAGAAGTGGAAAAAAAATGTGGGCAAATATGTATAATTCTCATATTTATTTCAGATCAGATCTGCTGGTAGTGAATTATTTTGGTCTGAAAGTATCTTTATTTCACCTTCATTTTTAAAGCATATTATTGTTGTTGTTAGGTGCTGTCAAGTACAACTCAATGATCCTGTGAACAGATCTGGATGTCCTGTCCTGTGCCATCCTCATAATATCTGACACACTTGAGTCCACTGTTCCAGTCACTGTGTCAATTCATCTTGTGGAGTCTACCTCTCTTTTGCTCACCTTCCTTAGCATGATGTTTTTTTTTTCCAAGGAACAGCCCTTCCTAACAATACATCCAGCATGCCCTAACAACATCCTTAGAAAATGAGGATGGCATAGGAGCAAGCGCAGCCAGAAAGTTCCTTGCAGACAAGGATGGAGAAGGTCACTTGATTCATGTGTTATTGTTATTAGATCCTGTCCAGCAGGCTACAAGTGAAAGGCACCATATGTACAACAAAACTAAACTCTGCTTGATTCTGCTTCTTCCTCACAATCTCTGCTGTACTTAAACTGATCACTGT